TGTGAAACATGGCCATTGAAGGTGGAAGATATAAAAAGGCTTCAGGTGTTTGACCACCGTTGTATACACATGTATACACACATGATGCTCATCTTAACGACGCTATACCGAATCTCACCATTTTGTCACTCCTATTTCCTCTCTTCTCATGCTTTATATTTCTTTTGACTGCATTCACTTCATTTTTCACCTCACTACCTTTCTACTTGATGAACTGACGTGAGGTGTGGCAACTCGGACCGTTACGCAGTAATGCCTGGTCCTATGTTGATAATGATGATGATGATGATGATGATGATCGGAAAAGCACAATTTCAAGATGACGTTTAGATAAACATTTGTGCATCTTAAAGTGTTATTGTAGTTAGGTATAATGAAATAAATCCAATGAATTTTTCCTATTTCCTGAGTTGATGCGTTTCAAACGGTATACATTTTATAACATTTCTATTTAAATTCGGAAATAAATTGCAAACGATAGAGCTAATTCAAAGATTAAGGGGATTTGATGCGGACTGAAGAGGTAGAAGTCGATAGTTAAGGGGAAATTATGCGGATTGAAAGGGGTGGGGGTGGGGGTGGGGAAACCGATGAAAAGAGGGAAAAGTGGACAAGGCATAAATCGGAAGGCGACTTTTCTTGGGAAAAGGGTAAGAAGGGGAAATTAGTTGCATTTCCCCACGAATGTCGCTTTATTTAACCATGAAGCTTTTCTTTTATTTCCCCAATATTATAATAATTTTCCACTTTTTGTTCTTTATGTGTATAAGTGAATAGAAAAGGTGATATGAATTAAGTTGTGTGAGCGAATAGTCAATCTGAAGGTATAGGTTAGTGCGAATGTTGAAACTTTAGAATACGTGAGTGAGTGAATAATTCATCTGCGCCATTGTGTCCGATTTTCAGCCGTCATCTAGAATTTTCCACCATTAATTCGCTTCATCTCAGGAACCCTAGTCTGGTCGTCTGTATCTCCTCATATGGCTAAGACCAACAGTCAGGGACTTCATCGACTGGTGCCAGGTCTTAGTCTGACCACCCTGGATCCTCTTCTAACCTTATCGAACTTCCGCTAGCACTGTAGGTCGAGGTAAGCGGTGACTCGGCATGCGCAGTGCATAACTTAGCCGTCCTAGTCGACTCAGGTTCATACCCTCATCAATTGACTTGACTACCTTGCTCAGCAGCCTTCACCTGACCTCAACATTGCTCACGCGGTGTTCCCACCAAACGCAAGCAATGTTACGAAGACATCTGTGATTGAAGCTTTGTAATCGCTCCATGTCTTCTGCTTTTAATGGCCATATCACATCTGTACAAAAGAAGAGAAACTTCTGTACACTCGTCTTCTGATAGACAGTCAGGTATCGCCAGCCGGAGCTACAAATGATACACGTTGGCAAATGCGAAACGGGCCTTATATATCCGCGCTGAGATTTCGTCAGCAACCAGCCCGTTTGAGCTGAATTCACTCCCTAAGCAAGTAAAGTGGTCGACATATTCCACCACATCATTCTATTATTAAGCTGGAAGTGATTAAAAATCAGTCCTCGAGCATCGTCATACATTTGACAAGTGCGAAATGCATGCCAATCATACTCAGATTTCTGCTCAACGCGTTCAAAGACCCTAGATTTGGTCGATGTCTTTACCTAGCGGACAATATCGTCTACATACTCCAAGTCAACCAGATGACGTTCAGAGAGTAGGTCAATTCTTCTGTGGAAAGGAGCACGACTGTTGCCAAATCTTTCAGAAAATTGTCTCAGTTTTCTCTAAATCAAGCGGAAGTACCCAATATTCAAAAGTTAACAAAAAGAGCCGAAAAATTACATGCTGGTGACTTTTATCCATACCTTCAATGTAATAGAGTCAGTTTTTGGTGGATTAGGTTAACTTCTTTATGTCTTGACAGCACGTGTTTGGAAAGGGTTGCTCTTTCATTGTTAATTTGCCCTCCACAGTGGTTATTTGGATTAATACTGCTGATCATCGAGGTAAAATTGATATTATTTGTCTAGACTTTCTAAAGAATTTAATCGTATTAACCTCTGATTTGTTGATAAGTAGAGCTGATCAGGATCAATCCACTGCTCATCGAATGGTTGTCATCTTACTTATGTCACTGATTATTTAGAATTCGAATAAGTTCGCTATGTTTGAACTGACGAGATGTTCAAGCAAAGTTCATTAGGATTCAGCACTAGAACATCTTTTCTGAATATACATAAATGACTTTCCTCGGCAGGTTTCTTCTAAAATCCTTTTTTTTATTGATGACGTGAAACTATGGAGAGAACTCAAAGGTCGCGAATATAGGGTTTCTCCACAGAAAAATTTAACCGGGATTCAACAATGGACTCGCACCTAACCCTAGAAAATGCAAGATATTGCATCTGAGACACGATGCGTATCATTTACAGTCTCCATGACACAGAAGTAGGAGGATCACTGGTGAAGCTGGACGTTTGGTCCCTGAAAAAAATGAAATACTTTGCTAACTACAGTGGAAATGCACTTCGTACCAACTTGGCTCTAGCAACTCATAAGAATTCTCAAACAGTTTTATCGTATGTTTCCACCAAATTTTCAACAGCTTCATACGGCCTCACCTAGAGTTCAGGACTGTAGACTTCCCCTCCTTACTGCAGAAGACAAATTAAATCTAGAATGCATCCATGGGAAGTTAACTGAGTCTGTTCCAGGACTTAGGCTTGAAACATAAAAGAACTGGCTAGTATCGCATGGTTTATATCCTTTTGAATGTAGAAGACCGAAAGGAGACTTGATAGTGGCGTATAATGTGTTAAGCACTCGTGGACACCAACCTCGTCGCCTATTCAACTTTAGTTGTGGAACGAATCTCACGATATTCAGAAGTTAGGCCTCGAATGTACCAGGTTCGGTATTAGATGCGCCTTCTAATCTCTAAGAGTTTTTGGGTCTTGCAAGGTTTTCTCTGCAGAAATTGTTGTCTACTTTGTCAAGATCCTTTCAGCGCTAAACTGTCACCTCCTTAAGACGTGACCGTGAGTGCAATCAAAACTAACTTGCTCCTTTTAATGAACCATACTAGTTTTCTCCTTATTTGCCTTGCACATGGGTTTATATATATATATATATATATATATATATATATATATATATATATATATATATATATATATAATAGGTGGGGCTCGCTGACTTCTGAATGGATGTGCACAAGGTGGCTGAGTACGTTTCGTTCGTTAGGTCTTCAGCAGTGCCTTGACTAGCAATGGGGAGTGGTGGTTAAGTGCTTTCAACACTTCACTTATCTGGGCAGTCGAACGAACCCTGGTGGATCAGTGGTTGGCAAAATCTCCTCATGTGTACAAAAGGCTCAACTGGTTTTCATCAAATTACACGATCTATGGCACCGCCACGATATCCGATGATCTATTAAGGATCGACTGTACTGCACTACAGTTCGCTCTCTTCTACTATATGGCTGTGAAAGATAACCATTGAAGTTGGAGGACACGGAGAGACTTAGGTTGTTCAACCGTCATTGCCTTCGTAGCATGGACCATGTGTCATCATGTGAGTAATGCATAAGTCAGGTGTGGAGTCTTAGAGAGGAGAGGAAAGTCAGTTGGTGTAGTTGTGAAACTTCATGAACTCAAGTGGCTGAGACATGTGTTACGCATGTCTAGTCACCATCTACGTCGTCGCACAATGTTAGTTGAAGAAGGTTCAGACTGGTAAACGGTTAGCGATAGCCCTACTAAAGCAGGATAAATCCATAGAGTTTTTGACTGTTGATGTGAGCCATGTAGAAAAATGTGGTCACGGATTTGAACCCTACTTCACCTACCTAGGTTCGGGTAACCATAAAGTATCACTAGCCCCCACGCAATTAAGTGTGGGTCATTACCTACTGCACGAATGTGCACAAGATAATTAAGTGCGTTTAGTTTTTTGCTTCGCGTTTAGAATGTGGACTTCCGGTTGGGGTCCGCGTGAGACAGAAATCAGCGGTTGGAGACTGGGTGATGTCGCTCAGAATCTATGTCAGTGAGACGAATGTATTTACATATTATCTTTGTCGTAATCGTTATTCCTGAATTAGGTAATTATATCGTCATCCATTGCTCTTTTTTGATGATTTCCTACCACTTTTGAGTGCTCTCTCCCCTATTTTTATGCTTTTAATCTTGGTGCATTCTTGTTTAATGTACCGATATGAGGTGTGGCACCTAAGGTTTTTACGCTGTAATGCGAGATGCCATGCTGAGATCATCTTTATTCATATATATATACATTTGGTTTGCTGTCACGATGGTTGTTCTACGTAAATCATAATGGCTCTGGGTATTTGCTGGATGGTTACATGATAATTAGGTCAGCGGTGTTACACTTTAAAAGTGCCTCAAGTTCGGATTATTTATTCATATTTTATTCCCTGGAATTTCAAATAAATCCACAAATCCATAAGGACTAAGACGCGCAACTGATCCCCCAGAATTGCTTACATGGTACTCTCACTGGATTCTTTAGATCGTAGGAAGTTTGTAGTAACTAACTACGGAGTTATCAAGCTTCATCAAGTTGAAGAGGTAATTTTTCACGGGCGTAGAGATGAATTATCGCATCGAGAGTCTATAAACCGAAACTTATGCAATCAGACAGGCTCTGCGACGGTTCCATGGTACATACCACTGTTATTTTTGATTTACGATTGGTAGTCTTACTAGTCGTACTACCAGAACTCACAGAAGTAACAAAATATGCGAAATATTCTCCTACTTTCAATGGTTTACTGCTTATAGTGGGATTAAGTTCTTACATTGTTTATTGATATTTCGTGTAGATTATTACATATTATATCTTAAGACGTTTTTAGTCTACTTTTTGATTGGCTTATCTTTTTTTTCCAGACATCTTATCAGGTTATTTTTCAGTCCTTTCCTGTTTGCAACTGTTTGATTCCATGTAACGTTTAATACAAAGCTACTAACGACAAGTGTTACTCAGAAATGGTTGAGATTGATGATGGTCGCCACTTTAAAAATGCTTATGAGGATTATTCACCAATAAACCATCTAAAGGTAAATTGGATTACCACTTGTATACCTTTCTCTAGGTGGAAAGTACAAATATTCCGGACAAACTAATGGAATTATTAGGTGTTCTGAATTCAAAGATTGAAAAATTGTCTTCATCTGATATATCTATATATACTGGGTTGTCAGGTGAGAGCTATATGTTGTAATGTAATAGTAATCTTAAGGCTCGCATATGAAAAAATCCAGTGTTACTCTTATTTAAAAGCATTACGATGATGAGAAGTCAAGTGACTCGTAAATGGACGTCATATTAATTACAAATGTTCATGTATTGTTAGGATAGCAATCATTTAGGGTTAGTGCTTAGACAGTATCAAGTTCTCTTCGTTGTTATTCTGTTTAGTGTCGTTTAATCCTTCACTAAATAACTCTACTGCTTAAAGGTCCTGATAACGGAGATTTAGTTATTTACTAGTCGACAGGTGTTTCAGATAATGCAGTCAGTGAAACACAACAGATCATCAGTTTAGAGATATATGATTCAAACGTAACTAATACCCTGGTTTTCTTGCCTAATAAAGCTATACTTTCGTATTGTTATTTACTGAGACTGCAACCTAATTATATATATAACGGCTTAGAATGATATTAAGCTGACTAGTTGAACGTTTTCAGGCTCGTTTTTAGGGGGAAGGGATATTAAACCTACTTACGTCAATAGTTCTTCTTCATTTGCTGACTTCGCATGCGTTTAAATACCGTTTAGTACCAAGTCATTTATCTATACGGCTTATTCGAATCTACAGTAATATAAAGTCTAATGGCTACACGTAAAGGCTTAGTCAACAGTATAGTTTATGTGTTGGTATAGCTTCGTGGCATATTCAACTTTATGGTTAGTCTTTGCAAACCGGGTCAGCTAGGAATTTTCAAGCTACAGTAACACTTACACCGGCATCTAATTTTTACATGCATTTTGCTAAAAGTTACTGATTGATATTTACAGATATTCAGTTTTCTAGCCTTTGGTATCATTTGTACACAAATACTTTTGTACTGCGTAGAAAAATGCAAAAAAGGTGGAGATGAATATTGAATTATTTACTCACAAACTTCGTATGACATCAGCAGCTAGTCAGGTAAGAAAACCTAGTGCATACTGCCTAGTTTTGTAAGTTGTCAATTAAAAAAATATATAGATACCGGCTATTTGACTATTTTCAGTGTATGAATAGTTATGGTGATTCTTTGGAGGAACATTCCTTGTGTAACAACTGTCAATGATGAGTTGAGTCGTCTTTTCAGGACATGAATTCTCTATTAACTCGTTTGTAAACATCTGCTTTTGAGGATATTGTCATATTTTCATTGAAACTTGTTGTGAAATTCGCATATTTAGCTGAACTGATGTGTCATATGTTTGAGAAATGGAAAATGTTGTTTTGTTTCTGTTGACTGGTTTGTAATTTAGATCTCATTGTTCACTTCGGTGCTATGAAGGTCTCTGTGAAAGTATTACTATTATTATTATTATTATTATTATTATTATTATTATTATTATTATTATTATTATTATTATTATTATTATTTAATATATGTGTTAGGTCCTAATAAACGTCTTTTATGTCATACTTGAGTTGACGTAAACTTTAGGATTGGTATGATTTACGCTAAATCTATCAGTTCGACAGTCTGTTGAGATTATTCATAGACCATACTGTTGCATCCCTTTTTTTATAACATTCAGTTAGTTATCTATCTGTGCTGAAGACGAAAATAGAGAGAATCGAAGTTCGTAACATCTTACCTTTCTCATTTTATGGCTTCGTCTTGTTAAGTGAAGAAACTGGTCCTCATATACTAACGTTAGATTGTCGAATATTATCAATAGTGATCAGCATAATATGTTATTAGGTATGAAAAAAACTCATGTGACCTCCAAGACGTTATCAAGAGTATACTAATTCTTGCTATGGCATATTCTTCCCATAATTTGGGTGCGTAGGTGAGAAATAATATGATCATAGCCATAGCATTGATGGGTGGAAGGCACTGGTAATCTGATTTTGTCCAAAAATTATCAGTAACTATCAGCTTGATCTATGTAAGCAAGTATAGGCTTCTTGCCTGATGCTGTCGAGCGATTGTGAATCAGTAGTTGAGAACTTTAGGTGATCCGGCCTGTACAATGATCTCAACATTGTGGATTTATGCACTTGCATTTCTTCTACTTCAAAACCTCAAATATATTGTCACTTCAAGGTCAACAGAAAATTTGTCCTTCGATGATTTTAGTTGAAATAACCAATTAAGTTTCTCTATTTTCCGGCAGTTGCTAGAATAACTTTTAGAGTCACCCTGTTTTAAACCTGAAGATAATCATAGAAATGAAATTTATGTGCGAATTAATTATATCCTTGTTCCGTACAATTGGACAGAACCTAAATAAACTTTTCTGGACAAAAATAAGTATAATGCGATAACCATTGATGAATATATCACTTTTTAAAACGACTGCACATATGCACACTGAAGTAGTTGGATCCATGACTCTAAACCAATAAGTTATGTATTTGAGCCCCGCTTCACCTACGGAGTTTTGGGCAACTAGGTAGTATCACTTACCCTCACACAATAGGCGTAGATCATTGCTACTGCATGAATTTCCACAAGGTTACTGAGATTAACACGATCGACACTGAAGTAGTTAAATATGCCAGTTTTCTTGTACGCTATCTGTATTATTATTATTATTATTATTATTATTTGTCCCTTGGGTTCCTAGTGGAACATACAGCTTCAGTAGCACGTCTCCATCCCACTTTGTTCTCTGCAATCTTTTGAACCTGGCTCCACAACTGCCTACACGATCTCTTTCATGTCACCCTCGGACGCCCAACCCGCTGTTTCCCATCTGGGTTCCACTTGAGTGCCTGGCCTAGTGCGTGATGTCCCCGAATGGTCTTCTCAGTGCATGGCCAATCTATCTCCATTCTGTTCCTCTGCATATTTGTTGGATGATAAATTCCTGCTTCGTTGGCTCGTTGCCAGAGTGGGTTCCTTGTTGCTCATTGTTTCTGGCCATCTGAGCTTCAGTAACAAACCAGCGTAGGCGGCAGTTGTTGATGAATGTCTATAGTTTGTTGGAAATGCTTTTCGTGACACGTCAAGTTTCTGAACCATCACATAAAAGCACTGACTTGATTTGATTGGTGTTGAAAATCCGGATGTTGTTCACGCTTTATGCTGAGTAGAGTGCAGAAGATCTCCACACTGGTTTCAGGTTAATGAACACCTGTCTTGCTGTGTTTCGGATGCTGGCTGGTTTTGACGTCGTCGTCTGTGCCTGTGCCGCGAGTAGTTGAAACGATGCTGCCGAGGCAGGTAGGTAAAATAGGCTACTTCCTTTAAGTTTCTCCGATTGATGGTGATTGGAGCTTGTTGTTGTTGGTGGCGTTGGTTGGGTGTCATCATCACCTCTGTCTTCTCTACGTTCTCTTGAAGTTCCGTCTTCGTTCGCTGCCTCTTCTGTCAACTTGTTGGATTTCGCCTGTAGATCTTTGAGTTTGTGTGGTTTTTATTTCGACATCATTTAGTTTATTAGTGAGCCATCAAGTTGCTTGTCTGTTGCTATACCAAAAAACATATTTTATGCCTGTGACGTGGGTAAAGACACGGTTGCTCATTTTTTTAGAGTTAATATAAATTTTACTCTAAATTTAAGATATATAAATAAAAACGTGCCATTTTTCGCATACTCTACAAACTGTTTTAATAACTTTATGATATAAGAAATAATTCGCGAAAATAAACGATCTGAGATGTTTGATTTTTCGAATTGAATCTATTTGGGTTTAGCAGTGATAAGCTTGAACGCACACTTGCGAAATTACAGTAAACTGTTGAATGAGACTTCGTTGGTTTCACTTGATTAATACTGCTATTCAACAGCATAATTGTCTGATTTTACTACTTCTGTTTCAAAGAGGCCATGATTTGTGTTCATTGAATAGTTCGCAGTTATTGCCCTAGCAGAATCGAATAGTCGATGTCAATTCATTTACTTGTTGAACACCCCTAGTGGATGATTCATTTGCGATTCAAGGAAAAGTTCAACTGGTCTTCAGCTAATATTCCATTACGCGTTATCCAGTCGGATCCTGAATGGAACATCAAGAGAGAATCCCCAACACTTGTAGAAATCGAGAAAACTGTAGGTAACCTTAAATGAGGGAGAGCAGTTGGACCAGATGGATTAGTACTAGAGGTATTTAAAGGCGGTGGTAGCGAATTACTGGTTAAAATTAACTGAACTGTTGACTAGTATGTGGGAGTCAGATATTATCCCCTCTGAATGGTCCCAATCATTGACTATTCCAGTCTTCAAGAAAGGCGAGAAGTCCTCTTGTGATAATCACAGAAGAATCAGCCTGTGTAAGATTCTAGGTTCTATAATCATTAGACGCCTGAGTGAAGCTCGGGAACGGAAAACCTGAGAAAGCCAGACAGGCTTTAGACACGGCCGTGGGTGTATCGACCGAATACTCACACTCTGCCAGGTTCTGCAACACTTTCACGCTTATCGACGCTGGACAATAACTGCATTTCTCGTCCTGAAGGCGGCATTCAACTCCATCGATCAAGGTGTCTTATGGCAGTGTTTCTCACTGAAAGAGGTACCAGGTAGGTACATCACCTTGTTGAAGGTTTTTTACTCGATCACCCATGGGAATGTTAGAACCTATGATGACTTCTTATGTTGAGCTGTGTACGTCGAGTGGTGTCTATCAAGGATGTCCACTCTCATTCTTATTCAACTTTTTCATAGACGTTCCTATGAAGGTCTATCATCGTCAGAATGTATAGGGATTGATCTTATCTTTAGTGGGCCTGAAGTACGCAGATGACGTAGTCCTGTTGGATGAATTCGCTGACAAGATACTAGGTCAAATTGAAAATGTTTAGAATGCGTTTCTCGCCACCCTGATGTAATTTGTCCCCCTAAAACTGGTCTTCAGTAGCAACTTGTTTAACACTAGGGTGTGAAGTGGTTGAGTGCGTTGACTGCCCCACTTACCTTGGAAGGTGAACTAGTCCCAGTGGGTCAGTGGCCAACGAAATCCCTGCACTTATACAAAAGACTTTATTGGTTTTCGTCAAATTACACCATCTATGAAGCAACGATAATATTCGATTAGCTATTAAGGGTCAAATGTACAGGGATGCACTTCGCTGTCTTCTACTATATGACTGTGAAACATGATCATTGAAGTTGGAGGACACGGGGAGGCTTCAGGTGTTCAATCACCATTGTCTTTGTAACATTGACCATGTGTCGTGGTGTCACCACATCAGTAATGCAGATGTCAGAGTTGATAGAAAAAAGGATAGTTAATCGATGAGGTTTTAAATTTTTATCAACTGAGGTAGCTAGGACATGTGTTACATATGCCTAGTCACCGTCTGCTCCGTTGCACAATGTTAGGTGGAGTAGGTTCAAACTGGAAATGTTAGAGGTGACCCGAATAAAAAATTGCATGAGTCCGTAAAGTCTTTGACTGTTGGTATGTGAGGCATGTCGGATAATGTGAACTTCCGGTTGAGGTCTGCATGAAGCATCAATCAGTAGTTGAAGACTCTAAGTGATATGGCTCAGAATTAATGTCAATTGGACAGATTTATTAACAAATTGTCTTAATCGTAGTTGTGTGGATTACAAAAAATCTTCATAAGAAGTCATAAACCCTTAAAGATTTTTTAAACCAACCGTTTTATTCCGAAGTTTCTCCAAAGAATACGTCAACTAATATGCAAGCATCAGATTGGTTGGAGGGACAAAAATCAGTAAGGTATTGAAATCTAGAATGGTCTGGAAATAGCCAAGGCTATTGCAGATGTATATAAACCTTTATATATATAATTCAGGCTGTATTAAGTTGTTATTGCAAGAGCCTAACAAGTCACTATACTGAATTCAGTATTTTCTCATTCATTCTTCTTCTCTCTTACTGATCTCTATTGATTTTGACTCATTCTTTTTCCCTTCATCTTTCATAATATTGCCGTGTTACTTGATATACTAATGTGGTGGTGTGTGGCAACTTGAATCGCCACACTGTAATCCTTGATCCCAGGTTGGTATTGATAATGATAATGATGATGTATTTTGCGACTAGTTTACTGAATATGCAAGCAATTCATACCTGCTTTTATTTATTCTATAGGTATTGGACTGTTTTATCACTTTCTATCACAATGTAAAAGTGAATTATTAAGCAGAAGAATATATGAAGATGCTGTTTTATATTCTGAAAAGTTAGTACAACGTTGTCTGCGTCATACTGATGTGAAAAAGTTGCCTAAAAATATCAGCGTTTTTACGGGTCCTATTGGTGCATTGTGTTTAGGTGGATTATTTTCAGCTCGATGCGGTACAGATAATTCTGGAGCAAAGAAATATTTAGAACAAATTTTATCAGCTAGTAGTTATGCTTTAGATTTGAACTGTGCCATGCCTGATGAAGCCTTATATGGACGTACTGGTTATTTAAATTGTCTATTAACTCTAAAACAGTTCAATTTTGATGTACCCCCTTCTATTGTTTCATCAGTAAGTGTTTCTAAATAGTATCAATTTTTTGATATGTAAAGTTAGTTCAATGACTAGAATAACTATCAAAGAAGTTTGCTACTTTGAGAAATTATTATTATTTTTCCATTGGGTTCCTAGTGGAACATAGAGCTTCAGTAGCACGTTGCCATTTCACTCTCTTTTCTGTAGTCTTTTTAACTTGACTCCACAACTGCCCATAAGCTTTCATTTCTTCCTCACACGATCTTCTCCATGTCACCCTTGGACGCCCAACTCGTCGTTTCCCATTTGCATTCCACTTTAATAAATGACTGTCTTAATAAGTTGACATAATCTGTTGAATTCTACTTTGACAGGGTTGGAAGCATTTTTGCATTAGATCACGGATATTATACCTTTTTGTTGAAGACCAATTTTTTCGTAGATGGGATTTTCTTAAAATACTTCAGTTTATTCAGAAAATGACATTGAAAATGGTGCTCTGCGCTCAATCCAATAAGGATTTGAGCTTAAGACATGCAGATCTTGTATTGAACACATTACCATTTATTTCAAGTTGTTATTCATCGTAGACTGACATCAGTTGGAGGAACAAAGGAAACCTGGGAGCACTGGACATCTGTTCCGTCCTAGTATCGGTGCACACTGCTGAGGAGTCCATACTAGAACGAAACAGCTGTCCAGTGCTCCCAGGTTTCCTTTGTTCCTCCAACCGATGTCAGTCTTCGATGAATAACAACTTGAAATATTTCTAAATCTCCACAACTCCCTCAAAAATTCAACATTACCATTCAGTTTTAAGATTGATGTCTTGATGTTAAAATGATAAATCTTGACCTATATGGTTAGAAATATCCATAACGCTTAACGCATGCTCATATTTGCCATTAACTACACTATATATCGAATGAAGAGAAGTTACTAACCGTTGAATTTTAACTCTGTGTGAAGAGAATAGGCAAGAGTGCCAATGAATAATCTAAAATTATGTCGTAATGTCTGTATACTGTGCTGTAGTTTTCAATCGTTATCCAACTTATTGAGTCTGTGGTGGGATTCAATGAATGATAGAAAAACCAGCTGACTGGATACATTATGTTGTATTTTATTATATACAAAATATCAATGAGTAGTGCTATTTTATTACCTGCAAGACCATTGTAGTTTGAGACGAGGAAGGGCAACTGAGTCGGACAGACTAACTCCTGAGGTATACAAGGATGGCGGTGAGGTGCTCTTAGTCAGGTTAACGGAAGTGTTAACTAGTGTACGAGAATCGATCACGATACCCTCTAACTGGTGTAAATCACTGATTATTCTAGTCCTTAAGAAAGGCGAGAAGTCATCTTGTGATAACCACAGAGGAATCAGCCTGACATAGTGAGTAGAATTCTAGGTTCTATAATCATTAGACGTCTGAGTGATGCTCGGAAACAGAGAACACGATGGGGACACTAGCTGTGTTTCTCGACCTGAAGGCAGCGGCATTCACTCCGTTGATGGAGAAGTCTTATGGCAGTGTTTCTCACTGGAAGGCGTGTCGAGTAAGTACATCACCTTATTGAAGGCTCTCTACTCGGATACTTTCGGGTGTGTTAGAGCCTATGGTGAGATGTCCGGGGACATGTACTGGTTGAAGGGTGTCCGTCAACGGTGCGCATTGTCTCCATTCAATTTAATTCAATTTTACCATAGATATTCTTATGGGGGAATCCTTCCCGTCACCTTGTTACACAGATGTTGACCTAATCGGTGGAGAATTTTCTTTAGACGTAGAATATGCAGCATATGACATAGTCGTGTTAGGTGAAGATGCTGGCGAGATGCAGAGTCTTCTGAACACTTTGAGTGTGAATTTGGGAATGTTTGGGATGCGTTTCTCACCACCCGAACGCAAATTGTTGCTCCACGATTGGTCTTCAACAGTGCCTAGCTTACCTGGGTAGTTGGATTAGCCCTGGTGCCCCATTGGCAGATAAAGTCCCTGCAAGGATACAAAAGGCTCGACTGCCTTTGCCAACTTACGCCACATGTGACCCGCCGTTATATCCGATTATCTATTTAGGGTCGTGTGTACTGCAGACTAGTCCTCTCACTTCTACTGTATGCCTGTGAAACATGACCATTGAAGGTGCAAGACAGACATGAGAAGGCTTTAGGAGTTTGACCACAGTTGCCTTCGTAGTATACACCATATTCAATGGTGTCACCACCAGGTGAGTAACACAGAAGTCAGGTGTAGAGTTTTAGCAAAGTAGAAGAGGTAAATCAGTTGACGAGGTTGTGAACCTTGATCGACTGAGATGGCTGGTTGGGACATGTGTTACGTATGCCTAGTCACCAACTGCCTCTTCACACAATGTTGGTCGAAGTAGGTTGAGGCTGGAAAAAGGTTCGATGTCGTCAGACTGAAACAAACATGGCATCAATGTATCAAGTGTTTTACTGTTGGTTTGAGCCATGTGAGGCGATGCAGAGTGGGTGGGTGGGATCGGCGGGACAAGAGGAATCAGTGGTTGGAGACTGACTCTAGGTGATGTATGATGGCTGAGAACCGATGTCAGTGATGCACATGTATCCCCACACACATTATCTTCATCTTAACGACGCTGTACCGAACCTCACCATTTTCGCATTCTTCCTTTCTCTCTTTGAGTACTTTGTATTTCTTTTGACTGCATTCTCTTATCTTCATGTTTCACTTCACTGCCTTTTTACTTGATGTAATGATATGAGGTGTGACAAGTTGGACCATTATGCAGTGATGCTCGGTCCTATGTTGATCTGGATGATGATGATATAAGACCATTGTATTCAGGTACTCTGTTTATCGAGGTCACCATTCAGGTACATTATGTGTTGAATAGTTCATATACTCACGATATCGGCATTCTCTAAGCTTTTTTCATTCACAAACGTTTCCGTGTTACTTTAAGCATGTTTTACTATGCAGTTAACTAGGATAACTTAAGATAATGTCTGTGAAAAGAGAATAATCTCTGAGAAAAAGGGTGACTTCGAGTTTCCACTTTTATGCTAGGACTTTTGTGTTCAAGTCTTACTATACCTATTTCAACCTAGCAACTGCGTCTAGTATCGTAAGTTGTTATACATGACTGAGTGGCAGACTAACGAAATCAACCTAGAACGTCTTACACAGGTGCAGTGGCTCAAGTTGTTACACTTCACAGTAGTATATAAAGAACAGGTGGATAAAAAGGAGGTGACATCAAAGTAGGCAAAGTTGTGTAAAAGAATAAGCAGTTTGAAGATAAAGGTGAGTGTGAATATTCGAGCTTTAGAAGGTGCTAAGGATTGAATACACTTGCGTCAATGTGACCGGTTTCTAGCCATTTCATCAAGAGTCCTCAAGCATTGATTCCTTTCGTCTCGGTACTCCAACCAGCAGTCGTCATCTCTCAACATGTCTCAGACCCAATAGTCAGGTACTTTATAGACTGGTACCACTTCTTGATCTGGTCACCTTAAACCCTCTTCCAAATTAATTCAACTTCTTCTGACAAGGTCGAGATAGGTAGTGGCTCAGTTTGCACAGTTTATATCCAAGCCATCTCAGCCAATGAAGGTCCATAACCTCATCAATTAACTTCCATCATTGAGTTCTTTCAGATTATTGCAAATTCGATCCCATTTTTATTCAGTGCATCTTTTTGATATGATTGCGAATAGAGAAAGAAATAGAACTCAACAATCACATACATTAGGCGATGAGCTACACATACTGCGAGAGCTAAAAGTAAGTGGAGCAGTGTTCGAATCTGTGACCTGTTGTTAAAAAATTGAGTACGTAGATTTATCAACTCCGAACCCATCTGAATATCCTCTACTCTCTTAACTTATTATTACCCCTCCCCCCCTCCAAAAGGTCTAACAATATAAAATTTTAATTATAGGTGATAGATGCTATCCTCGAGTCTGGTCAAAGAACGGCTAATATTTACAAATCGAATGGGTATTATAAATCATTGATGTATCATTCATCGAAGCGAAATTTACCTATGCCTCCACTAATGTTTGAATGGCATGAAAAATGTTATCTTGGAGGTGCACATGGTTTCTCTGGTATTTTGACTACTCTATTAAAGGTAAGGCATTTCTCTCATTCATTTTTGAATCAACTGATTGTAACTTGAATCTATGAAATATCTGTCACTCCTAACCTAGATAATTTTATCAGTGGTTCTAATAGCAACTGTACTTTCTCTTGTGTAATCTGCGCAGTATCTCATCATTATAAGCTGGGTTTTTTATCCTCTGATCCAACTATAAGTTGAAGAATTCCATCATGTTGTCAGTACCTACTACATTAACTCATCTTTTACCACAACTTTTGCCATTACATTTGCCAACCATCATCAAAATCAACATGACTGCGTAACGGTCCAAGTTGCCACTACTCATTTCAGTACATGAAGTAACAAGGCAATAAAATGGAAAATGAAGAAGGAAGAAAAAATCGACCAAACAAAGTAGAAGTAGAGAGAGTGAGAAAGAATGAGTTAGGTATAGCGGTTAAGATGAGGATAGTGTGTGTATACATCTGCGCCACTGACATCGGTTCTGAGACATGATACATCACTTAGAGTCATTCTCCAACCACTGGTTCCTCTTGTCCCGCGGATCCCAACCGGCTAGTCTGCATCGCCCTGCATGGCTCAGACAAACAGTCAAGGATTTCATGCATTGATACCAGGTTTTAGTCTGGCTTCTCCGAGCTTTTTTCCAGCCAACATTGTGTGACGATACAGACAGTGGTTAGGCATACGTAACACATGTCCCAACCAGCCATCTCAGTTGATAAAGGTTCACAACCTCATCAGCTGACTTGATTCTCCTTCTTAAGACTCTGTTTCTGAGTTCTACTTTACTCACATGGTGACACCATAAAACATGGCCTATACTACGAAGGCAACCGTGATCAAACACCTTAAGCCTTCTTATTTCTTCTACCTTTAGTGGCCATGCTTCCCAACCATACAGTAGAACAGAGCCGACTAAAGCACAGTTCACTTGACCCTTATTAGACAGTCGAATATCATGGCAGCGCCACAGATGGCGTAAGTTGATAAAAGCCAGTCGAACCTTTTGTATTCGTACAGAGATTTCATCGGCCACTGAGCCACCAGGGCTGACCTGACTTCTCAGGTAAGTGAAGTTAACACTGAAATATTCTCTAATCAGTTGTTCCTGTCTTCATTGGATATAATCGGACGACTTGACACCTTTTTGTTTTTTATACTTTAACTAATTCCGTGGTACTACATACTTGATTTTATGTTTTAAAACGTGTTGTTTCGATGCAATGGAACTATACAACAGTATTTATACAACTGACCTGACGAAACAACCTTGTTTTCTGTGTACTTAAATGGGTGTTTTTTTTTAAAAATAAAGTGTTATAAACAGCTGATTTTCACTATTAAATTTGCAATATAACTGACTAGTCATAGTAAAGGCATAATAAAAGTGTAATCAGAACATAAGTTCTTTTCAGATATTCCATACTATTTAGCGTAACGAATTGCCAATAACTTTTTGTATCTTCTTCTCAGGAGAGTTCAAATGCTTTGCCGTTGATTTCCACTTTCATACGATTAGTGTTTACATGAATTTTCATACAGTTTTTCATATAAAGAGACTTTCAATAGATTCTCATCTTTTGTGGCATACGTTTCAATAGCGTGACTCATAACAGTTGGATGGGATAGGTGGTAGATGATAATTATGACAATTCGGTTGGTTGTGGCTGGCAGAAGAATACAGGACGCGTGTTTCGTCCTATTTGCGACTCGTCAGCTGGGTGTACCCGCACTCCAGTGAGTAATGTTGTTCCCACTGAGACTCGAACCTCGTATCCATCGCTTCAAACGCCAAGGCGTTATCCACTATGCCATAGAGGAACGATTGCCACTTCTTATACAACGGGTAGTAGTCATTACTATTTATCGACATACTTGTTATTCTCCGCTGTTTTGTTGGATCGAATTGTTCGACCTCTATTGACATACGGGCTCCTGTGCGAATGCCAATAGAAGTCGAACAATTCGATCCAACAAAACAATGGAGCATAAGAAGTATGTCAATAAATAGTAATAACTACTACACGTTGTACAAGAAGTGGCTATCGTTCCTCCGTGGCATAGTGAATAACGTCTTGGCGTCTGAAGCGATGGGTACGAGGTTCGAGTCTCAGTGGGAACAACATGACTCACTGAGGTGCAAGTACATCCAGCTGACGAGTCCCAAATAGGACGAAACGCGCGTATGTCGATAAGTAGTGATCGATGATAATATTGTTAAACTTTGCTGATAACTACATGATATACTATTGTAGATTTATATTTTCAGTTTCATTATGAATTATTTTAACTTCAATTTTTTTGTTTTAAAGGCGCATTATCTATTTCCCGGTATTATATCAGCAAATTCTTTAAATCAGTTAATTTTACCTACTGTTGAATGGATGGGAGAACTTCAGTTACCCAGTGGAAATTGGCCTTCCAGTTTAGGTGATAGTTTAAGTCGTGATGTTCTAGTCCATTGGTGTCATGGTGCGACAGGTGTTATACCACTTATGTTGTCAGCCTATAAGGTATGTAGTTATCTTTGTTTTATTTTAAGGAATGAATCAATTGATGCTTGTTGATATGTTGGCTTCTTCTACATATGCATGTATACTGTCTTTAATTATATCTCAATATTAAATGTGATAACTGTTGGTAGCTTATAATACGAATTATGCTGCTTACTGACATGAGTAGCTTTAGACCATTCACACTGATCACCAGTATTACCTAACCATATCAACCTGATCCAAACACAATCCTACTCTTTGGGTTGAATCACTCCACATATACATCACTGATGTGTTCGATCCAAACAACCGAAATCACCGTCCAATGTTAGGATCAACCGTGATTTAGTCAGTGACACTTGATCAGCGCGAGTCGTCTAAAATTACATCCATCCATCCAGATCAACATGGGACCGAGCATCACTGCATAATAGTCCAACTTGTCACACCTCATATCATTACATCAAGTAAAAGGGCAGTGAAGTGAAACATGAAGATAAGAGAATGCAGTGAGAAGAAATATAAAGTACTCAAAGAGAGAAAGGAAGAATGCGAAAATGGTGAGGTTCGGTACAGCGTCGTTAAGATGAAGATAATGTGTGTGGGGATACATGTGCACCACTGACATCGGTTCTCAGCCATCATACATCACCTAGAGTCAGTCTCCAACCACTGATTCCTCTTGTCTCGCCGATCCCACCCACCCACTCTGCATCACCCCACATGGCTCAAACCAACAGTAAAACACTTGATACATTGATGCCATGTTTGTTTCAGTCTGACGACATCGGGCCTTTTTCCAGCCTCAACCTACTTCGACCAACGTTGTGTGAAGAGGCAGTTGGTGACTAGGCATACGTAACACATGTCCCAACCAGCCATCTCAGTCGATCAAGGTTCACAACCTCGTCAACTGATTTACCTCTTCTACTTTGCTAAAACTCTACACCTGACTTCTGTGTTACTCACCTGGTGGTGACACCATTGAATATGGTGTATACTACGAAGGCAACTGTGGTCAAACTCCTAAAGCCTTCTCATGTCTGTCTTGCACCTTCAATGGTCATGTTTCACAGGCATACAGTAGAAGTGAGAGGACTAGTCTGCAGTACACACGACCCTAAATAGATAATCGGATATGACGGGGGACCACATGTGGCGTAAGTTGGCAAAGGTAGTCGAGCCTTTTGTATCCGTGCAGAGATTTCACCGGCCACTGATCTATTGGGGTTGATCCTACTTCCCAGGTGAGTGAAGTGGTCGACACATTTAACCATTTCACTCTCTATTGTTAGGCGTTGTGGGGCACCGTTGAAGACCAGTCCTAGAGTAGCAATTTGGGTGGTGATAACCTCATCCCAAACATTCTCAAATGGCTACTCAAAGTGTTCAAAAGACTCTGCATCTTGTCAGTGTCTTCAGTTAAGAGGACTATGTGTTATATTTTGGTTGGCAAGGGTTCTATATCCCGAAAGAACATAATACGCACGCTTAACTGACTACTAACTTAGTACACAGGAACCACTGACTGACCCCCCTCCCTTCCCGGGACAAATAGAGTGAAGACCGATGCCGGATGTCGGGAGTGTGTATTACTTCGAGAATACAATATGGTAATCAATCCCAAAACGCGTGAATAAATACACACTTGAAAAATGCCCTTGTTCTCAGTTTGAGACATTGACATTATTAAGAGTAAGGTTAACGAATCAGCGATTTACATTACAATGGAGACGGAAAATAAACTACTACTCATACAGTAAAAAGTGGTGTGGGAAATGACACGTTAAAATTTTCAGATCATTAACAATGTTTTATACAAAACTGGGTCCTTTTAACACTATATACATCTGCTTATTCTAGGTCTAACGAAAATTCTCTGGTAAAACCTTCAGCCTATAGTTGCTACAAATGTCCTGGAAAACATTGTACGCCGAGTTTCATTTAATCATTATAAGAGTATATTGTAACATAAACACTCTTAGAATGGTCACTAAACCTTGTTTTCATTGCTATGAATAATAATAATAATAATAATAATAATAATCGCTTTATTCGAACCGACATGTGTGATATAGTGTGGAATTTTCAGCATGGAATATTTCAACAAATTCGCTTTCTGTACAATATTTTTAAAAGAAATAATTATGATGTCTGCATAGTTTTAATAATAAGAGTATTGAAGTCATGAGTATGTAACGGGCAGCTAGTATTACATTAGTATCTGTTCTCGATTCAGAAATTAACTCAAAATCGAGTGTAATTTTGATGGTAGCATTTCAGTCAGCCAAGACACAAACTCACAGTCCCATAGAGAGAGATATCCTAGGAATGGTAATATAATGTATAGGTGAGCATTTACAAATTCATTCTCAACCGGTGGAATGTTTTTCCTTTGTTTTGTTCTTATCTTGAAAAATGAAATTTCGAAAACATTTTAAAAACATGTAAGAGTACATGATGCGTTCAGAAGACATTTAAAAGATTAAAACGAATTGAATGTGGAGAATTTGATGAAATATAATTTGTGGAAAGTTTTTTGGTAACCGAAGATCTAAGCAGGCCGCTTTTATATAAAGTGTATTGTTTACTTATCCACATATAATTTAGAAGTATATTGAAGCAAAACTCATGAGATAATCTGTTTATGATAGGAGTTCATCAATTCATGTATGCCGTAGATCAGCATATCTATCCGCCCAAGAATAATAGCTTAGTCAAGTGGATCTTGTGAATAAACAAGTTATATATTTTTGAGATGAATGGGGATTTTTTTTAATTTCGAAGTAGTATTCATCATGGACTGACATCAGTTGGGAAACCATTTTCCAGATTTTCAATGGTTCCCCAACTGATGTCAGTACATGATGAATGCTACTTCTGGATTAAAACTCCCCATTCACCTCAAAAATACATTACTGTATAGTGCTCATTAGTGACTTGCTTCCAGATGGATATCACGAGGCTCTAATTAGAAGCTATGGCCTGTGGGGTCAACCAGTCGGAAGTGAAGTGGATGCTAACTGAAGACTTTGGGTGATAATCGCACTATGTCGTGAATTGACAGAAGTTGGAAACTGTGAATCACTGGGAACCGACCCAGTGACTGAATAATTAACGTGTTCGCCGTGAAACCTGAAAGTCCTGAGTTCAATCCCTAGTCGGGTCGTGGGTGCGTACTGCTGAGGATTCGCATACCAGGATGAAACAGCTCTCCAGTGCTCCCAGATTTCCAATGGTTCCCCAACTGATGTCACTCCATGATGAATACTACTTCTAAAATAAACAAGTTACTTTTAAATAGACTATCTGAAGTGGCATTGATTGTTAGGCTATTGAAGTCTATAGGCGATTGCTTTAAATCCTACCATGATCAATAATTTCTCTCAAATTTAATCATAAACCCTGTAAAAAATGTTGCTTATTTGGAAGGTAAGCCAATAGCAGTTATGTCAAGACAAAGTAGGTATGTCACTGGAACAATAGGTGACGTGGGTTCGCGGCTTCACAGGAATATCGATTTCATCTTGACTCCAGATACACCTTGCTGACAAATGTGAAACGTAGATTCAGGGTCTCTGGCCGATTGCTTCTTATCACTCAACATCAATCGAAGCATATCATATTATTGAGTCTTCTAAAATTATAGATGAGTAATGCAATTCAGTCTGGTATATGTTTATGTACTAGGCTCCGAGCCTCATTTAATCTGCAAAGACTTCTACTCGATTGTGTAGGCTGAAGTAGATGGAACGGGACACAACCTGAAGACCTATGATTTGAACATTAAGTTCCAAGTCAATGAACCACACCTTCATTGAGTCATCTAGCTCTGAATTATAGACCTGATCAATAGAATTTAGTTATCACTTAGAGCTAGACACCGTGGGATCAGTTACTCTCTCTCTGTCTGTTTCTGTTTCAAAGTTCAGATTATTTTTTAGTGAAAACTTCATATTATCCAATTGAATCGATTTAGATTAGATTACATATTGTGCAAATATTTATGACTGAAAATGTTAATATATAAGGTGACGTTTTCAATGACTAGTTCCATTTTGAATCTAAACCACATTACCCGTACAACTTTGCCAATGAATCAAGCATCCTTGGTTTTACACATATGTATATAGCTGAAAAACGTAAGTACATTCAGAGGTAGTATTCCTCATGAACTGACATCAATTAGGGAACCACTGAAAACCCGGGAGCGTTCGTCGTGAAACCTGAATGTCCTAAGTTCGATCCCTAGTCGGGTCGTGGGGTGCGTACTGCTGAGGAGTCCTATACTAGGACGAAACAGCTATCCAGTGCTCCCAGGTTTTCAATAGTCCCCCCCCCCCAACTGATGTCACTCCATGATGAATACTACCTCTAAATTAAAATCTCCATTCATCTCAAAAATACGTAAGTAGATTCATTATAACTGCTTGAGATGAAAAAGCAACTAAGACCTACTTTTATAATCTAATTATTTTTGTATATTTGTATCTGTATGATCTTCAAGATTTAGTTGTTGTGCAAACAAAAGAAATTTACCTTAGAACCAACCAATCTTTGAAGGAAAAAAAGAAATACCATCACATTATAAATTATTTTTCTGTTTCAGATCACCGGTGAAAATAATTACCTAAAACGTGCATTACATGGTGGAGAAGCTGTATGGACTCGTGGTCTACTTTATAAAGGCTGTGGTTTATGTCATGGATCAGCGGGTAGTGGCTTTACTCTCTTAGAAATTTATCAAGCTACTCAAGATCCAAAGTATTTATATAGGGCTATTAAGGTAAGCATCAGTTAGTTGAATCAATCATATAAATAGTTGTTGTAGACTTCTTCCTTACCTGGATTCATCAGCCTTCTTTGTCTTGTATTAAAGATTGAGTTTTGGATATGATAGGTAGCGACAAAAAAGCAGCCAATAGAGGAATTATTTACAGATCATGATTTAATACATGTATTGACATGGTAACCTGATTGGACAAATTCGAAGTCATACAACAAATCAGATTGGTTCGTTTATGGCTTCATCTTCTGAGGGTTTTGTCGATATATATATATATATATATATATATATATATATATATATATATATATATATACCGTGTATTTGTCTAGTGTTGTTGTTCTTGCAGTCACAGTCCGTATTTTATATTCTGGTTTTCGCGGCTCTGTGAAGTATAGGGTGTGAGGGGGAGAACAGTCATATTACTCGTATCTAGTACAAGTATCTCGTTGCGTTATCGCTCGTTTCGCTTATTATTAGGACCTATGTAATACTCCCAACTCGAAACATCAGGATAGTATTGTGAAAATCCCATTGCTTCACTGATAAATAATTACTGTTTAGTTTTGTAGTCTTCTTTGAAAAAGGATAGTAATAGGAAGATTCTTTTTATCTTGAATGTGCTTGGGAGAATAATTTTTTGTGGAGAAAAGACAACTACATAATTCATGTTATTGACTGTTTGTTTATAATTTTGTATCATAGACTATATAGGAAATATGGTTCACATATATTCCTTAGACTTCATGCAGACATCATTTGATCATCACTTCTATAGCTAGACAGACGGACGGTGAATCAGCCAAGCAATAGGATTATTTTAAGCAGCGAAATATCTATCTATTGGCTGTAGTTTTCGTTGTTTTTTTGTCTTCCACCCCAATACACGTTTGTACACGTCCATTTTGACTTCTCCATTAATTAGTCGGGTCGGAAATCAACTAGGAATTTGTTGAAGGTTGATAGCTGACAGTCGATATCTGTGCATCGTTAGTGACCATAGCACATAGCAATTTTTCAAAACATAACAATATAACAACCGTTAAGCTCCCGTAATTATAATAAGGCATTACGTTGACTGAAGTTTGGCATTAGAACTGAAGTGGTTGCAACCTTTACAAATATAAACTTTAAACCAATAGGAGAGTATTCTTGAAGAATTATATCTTTGTGAAGACTATCTAGTGCTGAAATGTCAATATAACTGCACTACAGTTCACTCTCTTCTACTATATGGCTGAGAAACATGGTCGTTGAAGGTAGAGGGTATGCAGAGACTTCAGGTGTTTGACAACCTTTGCGTTTGTGACAGTAGAGATGTGGCTCAGTGGTTTGGCAAGATGACTATCAACTATTGGGTCACGGGTTCGAGCTCCGCCCACTTAGGTTCAGGAAGCTAGGTAGTATCACTAGCCCTCACACAAAAAGTGTGGCTGACTGCCTACGGTACGAATGTGCGCAAGGTGGTTGAGTGCCTACTTCCATGACGTAGACCGTGTCATACTGTCATAATATCAGTAACACAGAAGTCACACTCAGAGTTTTAGGGAAAAGGGGGAAGTCAACCGACTAGGTTGTGAACCGTCATTGACTCAGTTGGCTGTGACATGTGTTACGCATGTCTGTTCACTGTCTTCTTCGGCGCACAATGTTAGCTGAAGTAGGTTCAGGCTGTCTAATGGTTAGCGGTCATCCAACTAAAACTTGGCATGAATCCTTGAAGTCTTTGACTGTTGGTGTTGAGCCATGTGTGGAAATGTAGACTTCTTGGTTGTAGGCTGAGTGATAACTGAAGTCTGTCGCTTGAGACTATCCTCATCTTGATGGTCGTACTGAACTTTAGTATCTTCTCATTCTTCTTTGTTCTGTTTTGATGTCTTCCTACCACTTTTAACCGCTTTCTTCCTTATTTCTCATTCTTTTACCTTGGCTCCTATTTTGATGTGATGATATGAAGGTGACAATTAGGACTGTTACGCAATAATACTAGGTCGCATGTTTATGTTGAATGATTAACTTCACTCAATAAACCGCATAGATCACAATTTTCTTTCCATCTAAAGATGGAATAATGATCATTCAGAGTTTTTTCTCGTTTTTATTGTTTTATAACCAGTTATAATGTGTTGCGAAGGGTATCTGTTAAGTAGTAAGTAGTAGTAGTAAGTAGTAAGTCTTCAAGAAAGGCGAGAAGTCATCTTGTGATAACCACAGAGGAATCAGCCTGACATAGTGAGTAGAATTCTAGGTTCTATAATCATTAGACGTCTGAGTGATGCTCGGAAACAGAGAACCCGATGGGGGACACTAGCTGTGTTTCTCGACCTGAAGGCAGCGGCATTTACTCCGTTGATGGAGAAGTCTTATGGCAGTGTTTCTCACTGGAAGGCGTGTCGAGTAAGTACATCACCTTATTGAAGGCTCTCTACTCGGATACTTTCGGGTGTGTTAGAGCCTATGGTGAGATGTCCGAGGACATGTACTGGTTGAAGGGTGTCCGTCAACGGTGCGCATTGTCTCCATTCAATTTAATTCAATTTTACCATAGATATTCTTATGCAGGTCTCCCTCTCGTCACCTTGTTACACAGATGTTGACCTAATCGGTGGAGAATTTTCTTTAGACGTAGGATATTCAGCATATGACATAGTCGTGTTAGGTGAAGATGCTGGCGAGATGCAGAGTCTTCTGAACACTTTGAGTGTGAATTTGAGAATGTTTGGGATGCGTTTCTCACCACCCGAACGCAAACTGTTGCTTCACGATTGATCTTCAACAGTGCCTCAGCTTACAATAAAGAGTGTAGTTTATACACAGTAACGACGCTATACCAAATCTCACCATTTTGTCATTCTTCCTTCCTTTCTTCTCGTGCTTTATATTTCTTTTGACTGAATTTTCTTATCTTCATATTCCACTTCACTGCCTGTTTACTTGATGTATTTATATGAGCTGTGGCAACTCGGACCGTAATGCCTGGTCCTATGTTGATATTGATGAAGTCTATTTAAAAGGTTTTATGACTATACTTTTGCAACGTTGATAGTTTAGTCTCGAGGTGCAGGAACTAACTAACGACCTGTTTTTCTGTGTACATTACGTGAGGGTTTATATATATGACCTCGCCTGGTTAACTAGTTCACTAGTTACTATCCGGTCCTAAGCCCAGGTAAAGAAGGATGGTTGGGCGTAGGGCTAGCAACCCTACCCCGTAAAACAAATCTAACCGCTAAAGAAACTTCAAAGCACTAACAAAATATAAAAAATAAAAACAAAATCATTCCTCGCTGGAATCGGAGAGGTGAAATGATGCCGGTTGGTGAAAGCCTTCGGGAAGCCAATTGGCCGATGTGTCTTCTCTCGATGAAAGCGAAAGTAAACGTGGGGACATGGAATGTCCGCACGATGTTTGAACCTATCTGGCAAGGCAGCCCAGATTGCAAACGAGATGAAAAGGTATCACATTGGAGTGCTAGGAATTTGCGAAATTAGATGGAATGGAAGTGGACTCTCAAAACTGTCAACTGAAGAGGAGTCAGTAATCTAATCTACTCCAACATTGTTACCCAGACGACAACCACCAGCACACTGAGTTTCCGAGTGGCTATCATGATGTCCCCTTGAAGAACATCGAAGGCTCTCATACAATGGGAACCAATCTCCTCCAGAATCATGACAGCAAGGTTCAACTCAAAAGGAAGGAAGGTCACAATTATACAATGCTACGCACCTACAAATGATGTAGATGAAGAGAAGAAGGAGGAATTCTACAGACAACTGTAATCAACACTGGACAAGACCTCAGTTGGCGATATCAAAATTCTGATGGGCGACATGAATGCCAAACTGGGAGGGGACAACACAGGAATAGAACTAACCATGGGTCGAGAAGCGCTCGGTGAGGTGATGAACGAGAATGGAGAATTGTTTGCAGAATTCTGTGCATTCAACGATTTGGTGATTAGAGTCAGGTAGTGTGCTCAAACACAAGGATATCCACAAGTCAGCGACATGGATTTGATTTCACCAGACACCAGGACACACTAAAAATCAGATCGACTTCATCTCAATGTGAAGAAAGTGGGGATGCAGCCTACTTGACACAAGTTCAAGAAGAGGAGCAGATGTAGGTTCACAACACTCACTATCTAGTGCAAGGAACCTTCAAAATCAAGTTAAAGGCCTACAAGGAAGCTGATGATAGACCACAGTTCGGGTACAACACTCGGAAACTGAAGGACGAAACTACAAAGGAAATCTTCACGACAGCCAGCCATCAAGACAAAATGGGAGATATCGAGGGACATCCCTGAAGAAACTTATATGGAAGAACACTGGAAGTCTTTGAAAGCTATGAGGAAAGAAACCTGCACAGCCGTATTAGGAAGGAAGAAGAAAGAGGATAAGGAATGGATGTTGACGGACACATGGTAGCTGATAGAGTAGGGAGAGTAAGATGGTGAAGGAGAAGATGAACCAGTGCAAGGATGCACAACGACAAGGGGAACTGAGTACAATATATAAAACACTGGACAAAGAAGTGAAGAAGAGTGCATGGAATGACAAAAGACACTTCTACGATACACTGGTAAGTGAAGCAGAACAAGCTGAGGGCTGATAGGAGAGACCTGACAACATTGTATCAAATAACCAGGTTACTATCTGGAAAGAGATCAACACAAATGAAACCAATAAAAGATGATGAGGGAAATTTAGTTACGAAAGAAGAGAAACAAAGGAAACAATGGGCTGACCACTCCAAGAAGCTCTTGAATCGACCACCATCACCACCTGCACTTCGTTCAGAAATACCACCTGCAGCCGCAGAACTACAAGTGAACACAAATCCCCCAACATAAGTTGAAATCCTGAGCGGGGAAGCAGTAGGACCAGATGGGGTCACACCAGAAGCACTGAGAACAGACGCGGAGACAACAGTGGACATGCTCACACCACTATTGCAGAAGGTCTGGAAGAAAGTAAAGGTACCTGGCGATTGGAAGAAAGGTTACCTTGTCAAACTGCCGAAGAAGCGAGATTTAAGTCTTTGCAAGAACTGGCCCGGAATCACTCTCCTTTCCATCCCTAGCAAAACATTAAGCCGCATCATCCTGGAGAGACTAAAGGATGCACTGTATTCAAAACTACGACCAGAATAGACAGGCTTCAGGAAGTAGAAATCATGTGCGGACCAAATTGCAATGCTGCACTACGCATCATCAAAGAACAGAGTATAGAATGGCAGTCAACTGGATCTCTCTCTACCTCAACTTCATCGACTTTGAGAGGGTCTTTGACAGCGTCGACCGAAAAGTAATTTGGAAACTGCTTCAATACTGCGGAATACCACAAATCTTTATCAGCCTCATTCATCAACTATATGAAGACACCACATGCCAAGTGATTCACAATGGGAAGCTCAGTGATGCCCTTGGGGTGAAGTGAAGACAGGAGTGAAACAAGGCTGTCTACTATCACCCATGTTATTCCTGACTGTAGTGGACTGGACCATGCAACAACCAACTGTGAGGAGCGAGAAGAGGGGGATACGCTGGCTGGACCGGGGGAAGGAACGTAGATGATTTGGATTTCGCCGATGACCTCTGTCTAATGTCACACAAACTTGAAGATGTACAGGCGGAAACCAACAAGTTGACAGGAGAAGCGAGGCAGCGAAGGAAGACGGGACTTCAAGTGAATATAGAGAAGACAGAGGTAGAGGTGATGAAGATACCCAACCAACACCACCACCAACAAGCTCCAATCACCATCACCATTAACGGGAGAAACTTAAAGGAAGCAGCCTCTTTCACCTACCTGGCTGGGCAGCACTGTTTTAACTACGGGCGTCACAGACGATGTCAAATCCAGCCAGAATCGGAAAAGCATGACAGGTATTCATTAGCCTGAGACTAGTGTGGAGATCTGCACTCAGCATATGGAACAAGATCCGGATTTTCAAGAACAACGTCAAGTCAGTGCTTCTGTATAGCTCAGAGACTTGGCGCGTTGCGAAAGGCATTTCCAACAAACTGCAGACATTCATCCATCAACAACTGCCTACGCTGGCTCGTTACTGAAGCTCAGATGGCGAGAAAGAATAAGCAACAAGGAACCCCTTTCTGGCAACGAAGTAACGAAGCAAGAACCTATCGCTGAACAAATATGCAGAAGGAAATGGAGATGGATTGGGCATACACTGAGAAGGCCGACTGTGGACATCACACGTCAGGCCCTTGAGTTGAATCCCCATGGGAAGCGATGAGTTGGGCGTGTGAGGTGAGGGTGACATGGAGGAGATGGTGCGAGGAGGAAATGAGAGGTTGTGGGTTGTCGTGGAGCGAGGTTGAAAAGATTTCAGAGAACAGAGTGTAATGAAGACGTGCTACTGATTCCGTATGTTCCACTAGGAACCTAAGGGACAAATAATAATAATATATTTACATTTAATTTGAGGTATGAACGGAAAGTGACAACAAGAATTACTTCAAACCTAAAACATACTTCTAGAATTAAGATATTTCGTCGATTGACTAATGTTTTTATGTGTTCATATCATTTCTTGACTATTATTTTGTTTAATAATTTTTGCGTATTATTTTTGTTCATATTTAGTTTGCTGAATGGTGTACTGATTGTTTTACCAATGCTACTCGTGTTGCTGATCGTCCATATTCACTTTTTGAAGGTTAGTATGATAGTTTGCTTTACAAGAACTTCTTATTTCATCCTTTAACTTTCACACCAAATCGGAATTCACTAATTATTATTCACTTGTATCATTGAAAATCTGTAAAGTTCATGAAATACTTTCTTGAAACTTACGCTTATATGTATATTTCAGTAGTCTGTAATTTAACCAAAAAAAAGCGTGATATCATATGATTAGCTGGTTGCGATTCTAGGTGTTAGTTATTGTTGAAACTGATTTTGATATGTAAAACATTTTTAATTCCTGATTACATTGGTTCGTTTCAGAAGATCGACATATTTGAATATATATTACTAAAGTTGTAAGGTTATACGAAACTACCAGTCTCTCAAAATATTTCTCAACACAACTTATCAATTGATTACAATTGAAAAAATATAAAAATGAAAAATTAAGGTTAAGTTTGTTGAAGAAAACAAGTGTATTCAATGATCCTGGGAGAGAAAAAATTTGAAAAGGAGTTGAAATGTCTTCCAAAGAACTGAACACTGACGATTGTATAATTCAACAAAACTGGAGAAAAAATTATCATAATATCAAGGTTTATTTCTACACATAGATATAAAAACTTGTTTCAAGCTGTAGATCTTGAGTTCAAACTCCATTCAGCTTACTTTATCTTAGCGGCGGGGTTATGTCATATGCTCTCGCATATTAAATGTGGCCCGAACATGAATTTACAGATGTAGGGGAACGTGGACCATTGAATTTCTACCCTAATGGCTAAGTGGTGATATCCTTGCCTCAAAACTTGAAGGTCATGGGTGTACACCGCTGAGGAGTCTCTTATCAGGATGAAACAACTGTCCAGTGCTTCCAGGTTTTCATTAGTTCTCAAACTAACCCCATTTCGTAATGATATTAACGTTGAGACCAATCAATCCCCACAAATCTTCCAACTGAATTACATTGAAGACCAATAATTTGAATACCACTCTCTGGAAAAAAGATATGCTTTGCTGAAAATATCGATTCATGCAATCCTTGAGTGTTTCGAGCAGAAACATGTTACCAGATGATCAATTAGAATATGTATACTTTTATTCTCAACCGTAATGAGACGGTAAGCAAAATTGAAATAGATTAAGTTGTCTCATATAGCTCAGAAACTTATCCATGTTATCAACTAGTTTCTTGTGTGTTAACGGCCTATGCCTTTGTAGTACTGTCCGTATTCCGTGGTATCACCATGTGAGTAATACAGAAGTTAGGTGTAGTTTTAGCGAGGGAGAAGAGGTAAATCAGTTGATGAGGTTGTGAACCTTCATCGACTGAGATGGTTAAGACATGTGTTACGTAAGCCTAATCGCTGACTGCTTCGTCACACAATGTTGGCCGAAGTATGTTCAGGCTGGGAAGAGGTCCGAGGTGGTCAGACTGAAACAAACATGGCATCAATGTATGAAGTGTTTTACTGTTGGTTTGAGCTATGTGGCGCGATGCAGACTGGGTGGTTGGGGTCTGCGGGAGAAGGAAAACCAGTGGTTGGAAACCGACTCTAAGTGATATGGCTCAGAATTGAAGTCAGTGGCGCAGATGTATACACACATTATCCTCTTCTTAAAGACACTATACCGAACCTCACCATTTTTTCATTCTTCCTCTCTCTCTTTTAGTTTTTTTATGTTTCTTTTGACTACATTTTCTTCGTGTTCCAGTTCACTGCCTTTTTACTTGATGTAGTGATATAAGGTGTGGCAACTTGAACTTTTACGCGGTAATGCCTGGTCCTATGTTCATGTGTTAACTCACAGTAATTGAGTGACTTTACAACATTTAACTTTGTTATCTCCTGTAACGTCGTAGATGCATTTTTTTTGATTTGACTTAACAACACGCAATAATTTGTGTAAACACATGTTAAGTGGTTCATAAAATACATCTCAAGTACTCACTAACCATCTGTTACGTAGCGACAAGAAGGCAGCCAATAGGGGAGTTTTCAAGTCATAATCAGATCATGTTCAGGTCGTGATTTATGCATGCGCTGACCAGAGAACCTGATTGGAGAAGTTCGACCTCATACAAGAAATCGGATTGGTTCATTTGTGGCTTCACTTTCTGAGAATTTTGTAACTTCATATATGTCATGTATTTGTCTAATAAACGTTGTTGTCGCTGTTCTTCAGTCACAGGCCGCCTTTGTCTTCTGATTTTTCCGCGGCTCAGTGAAGCAGAAGGTAGTGAGGGAGGTTAGTCGTAAAGGTATTCGGTTGAGGTGTCTATTGAGTCTCAGTATTCATTATACCCAAGTGCGCAACCCCACCACTCGGTCACAACACCATCGTAATAACTCGTTTCCGGTATTGTATAACTTCGAGTGATTGGAAGTAGTTTAGTCATCTTCCCATTCCACATCATGAGAACTATGATAATGCAAATAAAATACAGCACCTATCCATTTAGACCTTTGTTACATGAAATGTGGGTTATGCATTTGTTTATTGACTACCAGCAATTACTTGAACAAGTTGTTAATTGTAAGCTAGAAACTAGTGAACGATTTCATATAAAGTCCTCTCTTGGTAAGAAATTTCGTTAAGTTCTTATTGTTATATTCACTCCATCAATTACTAAACGTGTGTGTTATTAGAAGTGAACAAATATGATTGCACAATTAGGCTAGTGCTAATCGAGACTGCAGAGCCGTTACGCAATAATCTATTAGATAGTAGAAATAACAAGAAAGGTAAGGGGTTTGACGGGATGAAAGGTGTTAGTAGGTGTGAAATGTGATGGTTAAGTGTCTACATGACAGAGATAAAGAAGGTGAATAAGGAAATAAGGGTCATAATGAAGGTGTTAATAGTAGCCTAACTAATTATAATGAAATCGATAAGAATTGTGAAAGTGTTAAGATCATGATAAGAGATTGTATATACTTTTTCTGCACATAGAGACTAGGCTTGAATTGATGAATTGCCAGTGTTTCTGCTGTGCACAACTGTTGAAAGTGTAGCCACTGTAAACTATTTATTCCATTTTACTCTATAAATGACACTAAAAGAGGACTCTGGTCCAGCTATATGTCTAGAGTTGACGAAGTGTTCAAGAATTGAACTGTTAATTGATTTACATTCTCCCCTTGATAGCTATACGGGATAGTGCTCAGAGATATATTTGGTGAGTGCCGGCTGTTATGCAGCTTATAGACGTTTGTGAATATATATATAAATACGATTTTACAGCTTTAGAAAATGAGTTTGGCATCTTTTAAACTAGGAATTAAACAGTTGAGCTCAAGTTCATATTATTATTATTATTTGTGTTCCTAGTGGAGCATAGGGCTCCCTCACTGTGCTCATGATTGTCATTGGGATGACAATATCGGAGTAGATTATTGACTCTCGAGTTAACAGTTTGAAGAGTCCACTTCCATTCCATCTGCTCTTGGAGATTCCTAGCACTTCTATGTTATATCTTTTCATTTCTTTCGCAATCTGGGCAGCCTTGTCAGCCAGCTTGAAACATTGTTCAGACATTTCATGTCCCCATTCTTACTTTTGCTTTCATCGAGAGAAGAGAAGACACATCAGCTTCCCAAGGGCTTTCATCAACTGGGCAACATTTCGTCTCCTCTATTCTAGCGAGGAATAAGTTTGTTTTTATTTTTTATAATTTCTTTGTACTTTGAAGTTTCTTTAACGATTGTATTGGTTTTCCGGAGTAAGGTTGCTAGCCCTATGCCCAACCTTCCCTCTTTATCCGGGCTTAGGATTGGCTAGTTAACTAGGCGAGGTTCAACTTCATATACAAATTATTATATTTTATGTAAACTGTACTTCTTTTTTATATTGTAGGGCTTGCTGGAACATTGTACTTTCTTGTTGGTATTCTGGATCCAATGAATTCAAAGTTTCCTTTGTTAAGTGGAATTTAAGTTAAACGCAGTGATCATATCTTAAATATTTCATCCATTATTTTTATGCTGAAATATTCTTAGGTTCATTCGTCTTGTATAAACATTCTAGACTAATTATGTTTACGTTATCGTAGAATAATTCATACAGGCTTTATGTTGCTTTTTGAAGATTCTTTAAATGAATACCTTGAATATGCACTCATTTACATGACTGTACCGTTTGCTGTTTTTATAATATTATTACAGAAGTGTAATGTGATAAAGGCTTGATAATATGGTCGAGTGGTAGTTATTAATTTATTCCACACGATGTGTTTCTCCATGCTCACAAGGTTTTTAGATCACATGATAGGACTAAGCTTCCTGCTAAATGAACTATGAATTCACTATGACAGTGGATTTGTGTTTCAATGGTCTACACATTTGAACTTCCAACCGGATAATAGGTCACGGGTTTGAACACAGCTCCACCTAGTGAGGATCGGGGAGATGAGTAGTATCATTAGCTTACATATATTATCTACGGTTCATTGCCTTCTCTACGAAAGTGTTCGGGGTTGTTAAGTGGATTTCCTTCCTTCACTGTGACAACAGCTTTCTGAACAGATAGACTTGAAGCTAAGTAAGAAGACAAATATATTGAACATGGAAGAGGTAAATCGTCGGAACAAAATCTGTGGTCAGATAGACAATATCAGCATAGGACCTGTTATTAATGTTTAGTGGGGTACAAGTTGCCACACCTCATATCGGAACATCAATTTTGATGGCATCAAGGTAAAAGAATGAGAAATATGAAAGAAAGCAGTCGAAAGTGGTAGAACTTCATCGAAGCAGAACAAGAATGAATTAGAAGATACTTAAAATTTAGTGTGACGATTGAGATGAGGATAATGTGTGGATGAATTCATACCACTGACATATTCTGAGTCATATCTTCTAGAGTCTCTAACACACAGCCTACAACCAGGAGGTGTACATTTCCACACATGGCTCAATACCAGCAGTCAAAGACTTCATGGATTCATGCCAGATTTTAGTTGGGTCACTGCTAACTAATTAACAGTCTGAATCTACCTCAGCTAACATTGTGAGGCGAGGCAGACGGTGAATAGACATGCGTAAGACATTTCACAGCCAAATGAGTCGATGAAGCTTCATGACCATAAATTGGGATCAGTTGATCCAAGCCATACTAATGTTTTGTATCTGTGTAGAGATTTCGTCGTCCACTGTTCAACCGAAGCTGAGCCGACTTCTCAAATAATTTGAGTAGTCAGTGCTCTCAACCATTTCACCCCATATTGGTATACAACGCTATAACCGCGATCAGTCCTGGAGCAATCATGTGCTGCTGGTTGATACGAAACGCATCCAAAACATACCTTAATTGCCAATCAAAGTAACCAGTGTACTCTGCGTCCCGTCAGCATCTTTTCCTAGCAGAACTGTGTCAGTTATGTACTCCATGTATACTAAAGAGTCTCTTTTAGTAAGATCAATTCTAGTTCAATCATATGACGAGAGCAAAATCTCCATAAATACGTTTATGACAAAGTCAAGTGAGAGTGGAGACAATTAACTCTACTCAACTTACATAAAACATTTATAACATGCTGACAGGTGTTCAAATACAGGGCCTTCAAGTGTGCGATTTTATTACCTAGCTTTCCTTTCAGTCAAAGACAATGTCATAAGATCCTTTGGTCAAACGTTACCTTCATGTCATGAAATACGACTAGCATCTGGCGTCGGTATGTTATTTGGTCACGAAACCTGGGAAAAGATAAGTATCTGATTGGAACACCTATGACTCAGGTCTGAAATATGCCTGATTTTCTCGGACTTGGTGTTCCCGATCCCTTCGTCATCTAATGAGTATAGAATCTTGAATATTAGACACAAGATTTGTCAGACTGATTCGCTTTTCTTCAATACTGGGGCGGTCAATGATTGAGACCAGTCAGAGGATCATATTTCACTACTACACACTAGTTAACATCTCAGTTAACCTGACCATCGTCCTTAAATACCTCTGGTATTACTCCTATTTGATCTTTCTGCCCTTCCTCGTTTCAGGTGACTTACAGCCTCTTCGACTTTCGCAAAAGTTGGAGGCTTCATCTCGATGTTCTATTCAGGATCTGACTGTATAGCGGGTAGCGCAGTAGTAGTTGGAGTCCAGTTGAAGTGCCCTAACCTTACGAATGGACCACGGATACATCTTTCTCTGCCAACCTCAATAACCACTTATCTTTCCGCCTTAGTTTCCTTGAGAGGTGTTATTAGCTGCCTACTGTTACCTATCTTCGCTGCCACTTCCATGTCTTTAACCTTCGCTATGTTGGCTGAAGATAGATGGTTGTCTGAGCCCAGCTGTAGCTGCTGGTCCCCATTATCTGTTCGTTTGGCTGGGATTCCGAGAGTGTGAGATAAGTGTCTTTCTGTCTGAATGAACTAACCCAATTATGAATTGAAATCACGCCCAACGATAACCACCTCTGAATGTCCAGCTTTCAGTAGTAGGCTAGATAGTTTTTGGTAGAACTTATCAAAACTGCATCCAGTGGGTGAATAAGCGGAGACGACGGTAAACTTCAACATTCCTTTTCATCCTCACTGTGTCATTCAGTCGAAAAGTTCATAGACAACTATCAGTTTAGATGGAGTTGAGCAGTGAACCTTTTGCTTTAGCATTTAGTGCTATGCCTACATTGCAAAATTCCAAAAACTAGCCATCATATCTCTATAGAAACTCGGAGGGTTTTATTTTTGGAAATTCACCATATTGTCTGTGAGAAGTTAAGTAGACTATCGCACTTGGATTCTGTGTGCCACAAATACGGAACACATCTCGAGATGCCAGACTTTTGACTCGCGAAGTTTGTTGGACGATTTGACGAAGGATTCGGATATTGGAACCCTCAATGTATAGTTTGGGGTGTGGTTTTAAGTAGACTGTGGAGGCTATTCCTTAAACTCCAAATCGTTAACGAGATATGGGATAAATTAAAGATTATCTGAGGATATTGACCCCAAAGACGTGAAGAAAGATTATAAGGTTAGGATGTACAACGTTGATAATTATCTGAGGAGACTTGAGTAGTGACTGAGTTGTGAGGGTGGTTTACACTTTCCAGTTACCCAAACTATAGAAGGCTGGTTCTTCTTGACGTATCTGATGGGGGAAGGGTTCGTGCGTGGCCGCAGAGCGCACATTACATCTGCTTGAGACCAGTCATGTATGGCTATTTTTAGAAGTGGCTAAATAGAACTGTCATACTTTACATACAATCTCATAGTTTTATTTTATTCCCTCGCTGGTCGTTCACTCAGACAGCATAAGAAAACGCTATGGAACTTCAGTCAACTGTGATGGATACCAGACAACCTTCAACATATTCGTCGTGTGGAGAATCCGTGTCCCAACAATATAATAGTTCATTGTGTTGTATCTTCTTTCTTTCTAGATATAGAGTTACCTAACGATAAGAACTGAACACATTGCATATCTTTCTAAACTAGGTTTTGTGAATTTCTTCCCCCTTGTTTTGTGGAGATGAAGCTCATTAGCTTGAGCACTCGACTTTCTAGCAGTGGGTTCCAGGTCCTAACCTTGTTCCACCTGCTTCGTTTTTTGGCAGTCAGATAGTAACATAAACTCTCAAGCACAGCAGTTGTGATTCAGCCTAGTACATAAACATGTACCGAGGCGGATCGCATTAAAAATTCCCTTTCTTTTATTTCCATTGAGAATGTTTAGCATTAACGAAATATATTTGTAAAACATTAATGAAGTAGAACAACATATTTTTGGTATTGTGCAACTATTTCAGAGAATTGTAGCCATACAAGTGGTATCACATACTAAACTAGTAGGGAGAACAAATACGACCACTATGGAGAAAGTGTTATTTGGAATGGTGACTTGACTTTCAAGCAGTTTCCTTTGTTCGAAACCCACTCCACTTAATTTGGTTGTAGTAACCGGTTAACATGTTTACCCTAGTTAATAAGAGTGTGCTCGGTGACTGAGTTGTATTGTTCATTACTAAGTTGTTAGTATAGACATATATTTTTCAAAATCCGTCCTCCTATGATCAGTTATGAACCAGTGTGTTCAAAGACAGCATATATCAGTGTTGCATGGTGAGACATCCGTGACATTTTTTCCATTATGTATGGTACCTGGTCGTCATATGGTCAAGGCTTCTATTTTATCAGATACATTTCGACTGAAAATTCTATACCGCAATTCAGTTATCTCGCTTGATGTCTGAGAAACCCTTTCTGAATACTTCAAACCTTGCCAATGCCAGTTATTTATTCATTCCAATTCGTGTAAGTATCTACTAGAGATTTAAAATTAGGGTTTCCTAGTCACACAGGGTTATTTCGATATCTATGTGTAGGTAGGTAGGTGTTTGAGGATCGTCTTGTACAGCTTATACTTTTTTTTAGCGTGTTTTGAAGATTTCGGGATGGGATTTCTAAAATGTGGCATGGATCATAATCTACATAAACTTAACTATAAGTTCAGTCTTCTGTAGTGGTGTTATATATTCTGAACGGATATAATACACA